GCAATATCGATTATCGATAATTCATCGAATCGTTACGCGCCGATTATTTTCGATGGAAGCGGGGAACGAGACGTTCATCTTTGTCGCGGATCCCACCGACGTGGTTTCGACGTGGAAAAACTGACGTCAGCCACCGTCATTGATATTTTTCTCCTTCGGACGAATACGTACGCGTTTCCAAGTTGAACGAGGTTAAAGAAGCGATTCGCGCGAGTGAATGACCATAATCACGACGACGATGCCTATTAGAAAGCAATCTCGCGTTCGTTAATAACGCTTCATCCTTTTTTCCTTTTTTCTTCTTTTCTTTTCTTTTCCCAACCTGAATGATTTTCGAAAAATTATCCGCTCGCGAAGCGTGGGAGAGGCGCGTTCGAACGTGTTGCCGCCGATTGTTTTTGTGCCAGCGCGAATCGACGTCGAGATATATATATATATATATATATATGTACGTATGTATGTATATGTACATGTATGTATATGTATGTATGCAAGCGGGAGTTGCAAAATCACGAATGCGGCAGGAGTGCAGAACGCGGTACAGTGAATAGTTTTCTCCAAGATAAAGAACCTTTGGAATAAGGTTGAGAAGAGGGGGGAGTTTTCGAAAAGAGAGGCTGTTTGGATATATACGAGATTTAAACTCCGTTTCGGGGGAGGGGAGGGATTTTAAATATACGTATGCCGGCATTGCGACATCGCTAATGCATCGCGAGTACAGAGAATGCACAGCCGTGGATGCACTGCAAAATTACGAGAGTAGAGAACAACGGGTGGAATTCCCTTCCCTGCTTATGGAAGTGTGTTCGAACGAGGGAGGAGAGGAGAGGAGAGGATAAGAAGAAACCGTAGGAAAAATAGATATCTACGAAACGCGATTCATCACGCAGGTACGTTGAACCGAATCGAACGTGAGACAAATAAATCAACGGTGACGGTGTGGTCGATCTACGTCTAATTGGCGTAGACAACGATCTTAATGAACGCAACCTTTCGAGACAGGGGCAGAGGGGAAAAGAATCGACAATGAGAGAATAATCTCTTCTACTTTCTACGACGAGTTTTCCTTTTTGCAAGCGAGTTTGCAAGAATGGGACGGCGTTAAGAATATATAACCGAGGTTTTTCTTTTTTTGAGATCATGATGTCGTTACGTTGCAAAATCCCGCGAATCCAATGAACGGGAAAGATTTTTCTCGAATCTTTCTTCCGTAAATAAGATTTTTCCTTTTTTAAAAAAGGATCGACTTGACTATTCCTCAATAAATATAATAAACTTACCGATAACATATGAGAAGCTTGCATTGTGCAAGCTTCTCATGTATGCGCAACGTAATCGTACATTATTTTACCGTTTTCTGAATGAAAATTATCCTGACAACAACACCTTCGCTCGACCTAAATCAAAGAAGAGAAGAAGAAGGAACGATCCAAGATTCCCAAGCGACCAAGGGAATCGGTTTTCAATTATGAATCGAGGATTACATGTTCGCGCTTAGAGATGCGACTGATCGAGGCACGATCCACCAACAGGATCACGATACACCTGACAGGAAAGCACGCACGTACACCGATCGTCGGTCGTTTGCGAAATCTCTAATGCACGCAATGAGCGTGTTACAAACACGCGTACACGCGGGCAGAATCTCGTCGCGAATGCATTCGAAGCGAAGGACGTCGTCCGGAGACAATGTGAGGTGCAGAGGTGCGGAGGAGGGGGTTGAGCCGCCGCGTGCCTTGGATCCCCATACGCCTCGGATCGTCGCGTTTACTCGCGCGACGAAGCTCGAGAACGGCGACCACGATCTCGACGACACCTTCAAGGCTTCCACCACCTCCTCTATTCTTATCTGTCGCGTTTATTCTCTTCCCATCTTTATACCGTACTCGAGTTTCGCAACGAGGCCTCTTCATTAACCGGGCTTCGAGCTCGCTTACCTTTAGAAAACCGCGACGCGACCTTCCTCTTCGCGATTTTTCTCCTTGAACAACTCTCGTCTCTCTCTCTCGCCGCTTCTTTTGTATAAAAAAAAAAAAAAANTTTGTATAAAAAAAAAAAAAAAAGGAAAAAAAAAGAAATGTTTGTAAAGAAATTCGATAGCGTGTGATTTTTATTCTTCGAGATGTAGAAAAGTATTATAGTTTCTAATCTAATTAAAGTGGTAGTTTCGCGAAAGAAAAAGAAATAAGAAATGAACAATTTTTAAGAATTGATATCTGCCAATAAATAAATATCTAATCACCTGAGAAGATCCGATTAACCATTCCGTTAATTCTATCCAATTATCCATTCGGAAATCCAGAACCATTTATTCAAAATCTTTTAAAAAAATATTTAATCGTAGTATAAAAATGTACGATTGAGTGCATTCTACTTTTTAGAATGTAAAATGATTTATCTGGACAGATTGTTTGACACGTTTTTACTATTAATAAATAACAAAAGCATATAACAGTTTTCCATTTGAAAAGTCGCGGGATAGAATTCGTCTCGCGTTATGCCTGCCACGTGAACCGTGTATCGCTCCGCGATATATTTCGTATTATCAGCGTTGGGCGTATATGTCTGGCGTAAAACTGCCAGAACCGATATATACCGTAATGCTCGAATGAACGAAACCGAGGCAAAGAGGAAGCGAAAAAAGGCGAAACATGGGAGAACAATGAAGACACTTTGTACCAGGTACCGTTTCCGAATTCGCCTTCACTGATAAAAAAAAAAAAAAAAAAAAAAAAAAAAAAGAAAAACGTATCGCGAGTCTCGTTGATTTACGGTGGATCTGATTCACTGGTAACGGTACGCGCCTCCGGAGGATCGTTTCGAAAGGAAACGAATGGTAACCGAAACCCTTTTACTTTGCGCTCCGTTTCGGAATCGAAGCGAAAACAAAATAAATGCACACACGTACATATAAGCATAGTAGGTTCATCGAAACCGTTCTCACCGAGTTATTTATAAAAATTCTTCTTCTAAAAAAAGAAGAAGAAAATTACACAGAGAGTATTTACGTAATACACAGAGATAATCGAAATTATCAATAAGAGCATCCTTGCAAATTCCACACCTCTTCGGATCACGCAAACATTCCCACGATACGATTCATCCACACCTAATCCAAAATAATCTCATTTCTTCCACATTCTCGAAACACACTACGATTCCTACTACGATTCGAGTCGCTCGCAACTCCAAACCATCTCCCCAAATTACCATTCCCGCGATACCGGAACAAGGACCGTGATGTTCCCACCTACCATATATATATATATATATATATATATATATATAAACTTAGGCCGACTAGGCAGAACACACGGCAGAAGGAGAAGGGAAAAACGATGCCGGAAGTGAACGCATCCCGCAAGATCGTTCATCCCGGCATGTAAATTCGCGCGGTATCTAATATCGCGCGCATTGTACGCTCTCCCCGAGGTCCGTGGCGCGGCGGTTAGATCAGAGACGTAGAAACGCGGAGGATCTCCTTAAATCAACCGTTTTCTGATATCTCTGTTGGCTTCTGATTCGCTGTTGGCCGAAAGCGGGAAGAGAGGAAAGTGAGCGCGCTACCGAATGCCGGAACACCTGAAACTCCTTCTTCCCTCCCTCCTCCTCCTCCTTCACCGCGCGTCCACGTGTGTATATAAATACGTACGTGTGTACGTAAATGCGCGTCTTATATCTGGGATCAAGCGGGTACATTGCATTCTGCGCGCTGCACCGGGTGCGCTCGTGTTTGTGCCCGATGCATTGTGTACGAAGCGGGAGATTAGAGAGCAGCACGAGGCCAGCATTCCTCGTGGGCAAGGAGGAGGTTAGACGGAACGAAGGTTGGCCCCATCGTAGGCTGGAGACGGACGCGCACAGGGGAACAATTAATCGTGCAAGATGGAAAACGCAACTAGCGCGCACGAAGGAATGCGCGTGATGCGCGTAACATGGACAATCAGGGCCGTGATTGCGCTACACGGGAATCAAATTAGCATCGCCATTAGAACCCGGAGCCGGGGAGAGGTATGGGGGATACGATAGGCGTATTTGCCCCGATCTATCGGGGATCCGCCCCGATGGATCCTTTTTATTATAGCTTATTTATTATAGCTTTCGAGGGATTAATCCTCCTCCTGTTTTTTCGAGGGATTGATTACTTGTTGTTCCATACGCGGGGTGTTAACGTATTCTCGTATGACGTTAAATGTGAAACGTGAAATTGGGTACAAATTTCGGGAGAAGAAATTATTAGAGATTCGATCATAGAATACAGATATTCGAAGATGATTATTGGTTTTATCGAATGATATGGTGACAAAATATTATAATTGGATTCTATAAATAGGACGAAATGGAATCGATCAATTTGATCAACACGAGTCATCTTTCTTTATTTAGATGTTAGAAATTTAGATGGTTAAAAGCTATGATTATTGGAACGTCCTGTATCGAGTGTTGCGCATCGAAAGGGAACCACGTGGAACGTGCGTTGCGTGGCACGCGTTACACGCATAAACCCCAGCGTGTCGTGTATTCGACCGCTCCCTTCAACGAGATAAACGCTCGGCTGGCACGCAAATGCGGAAAGCCGTCGAATCAATCGCGGCATTGTTCCTTGGCGATAGGAAATAGGTGAACGGAAGAAACTGATTTAATGAACGCCATTACGCTCCTCCTCGCATCTAATCGCTTAAATAAAAAAAAAGAGGGGGAGTAACTAATGCCAACGCTCGTGGAACGAATCTTCCCTTTACGGGGAATCGAATTTTCTCGACGACGATGCCTGTTGTGTGTCCCGCGCCGCGTCTTACGATCCAACAACGGGTTTACAACACGATTCGTCACGAGTCGTTTTTAATAAATTTATCGACTATCGACCGTGCGAACCGGAACGAGTTTCGCGTACAACTTCAACTCGCAAAGTTTGATAATGGAGTTCTATTAAAATTCCCAGTGTATCTAAAACACTGTACGATAATGAACGGAAAATTTACGAGTATCTCAATATCACGATGCATGGTGACTTCGACCATCCTAACACACAGAATCTCGAAAATACGTCGAATCGATGCGCGACGACCAGCACTTCCAACGGAATGATTAACCTCAATTTCGACGAGGAATGGTTGACCTACGAAAAACTCACGGAAATCTTTCTGTTTCAAACGATTTCGAAGGTGAAATTGACCGATCCTCAACCCGTTAGATTGTGCAAGACGATACAACAACAAGCGAAATCCGTAGACGTGTTGAGACATGTTCGCCAGTCTTCGAAATTAGCGAAGAACAAAGTAGTAGTGGCTCTGAAAAATGCGAACCAACCGGTTATTTTCGATAAAAGAGCGGATGGGGATAAGGCTAGGGAAGTTGCGCCAATACCAATGAGAAAAAGCCTCTTCCCATACGTGTCTCCTTACGTTCTCTTCCAAAGCCACGATCACGTGCCAACGAAAAAACTGCCAAGGGATTTTGTTCAACTTTTCAAATGGAAGTTCACTAGCTCCATGCCCAGGATATTGATCAGGATCCTGGTCAATTCTGGATACGAAGTGGTGAACAAAGGATCGGATTGGTCCGCCGTTTGGAATCTGTCTAGTAAAGACGTAATGAGGTTTCGACGTATGAAACCGTTTCAAAAGGTAAAAAGAAAAAATTTCTCCACTTCCTTTCCTTCCGTCCGTTGCATCGAGCAACAATTTTTTTCCACGATTCGTGAGAATCTTTCGATATCTCTTATTTATTGCTTCCCCATCAGGTGAACAACATGCCCGGCTCTCATAATATAGGGGACAAGGATTTATTGTGGACTCACTTGAACAAAATGTCGAAGAAATTCGGATCCGATTACAACTTCATGCCTCGTACGTACATCCTACCCAAGGAGATACAAAAATTCGAGAGCATGTGGAGCAGACACGGCATAGGAACCACGTGGATAATCAAACCACCGTCCGCCGGTCGTGGCCAGGGTATCAAGATTGTTAATCAATGGTGGGAAATACCAAAGTGGCATTCGGTAATCATTCAACGATACATCACCAAGCCGAAACTAATCAACGGATTGAAATTCGATCTGCGAATATACGTTCTTCTAACAAGCATCAATCCGCTCAGAATTTATATCTATCAAGAGGGATTGGTTCGTTTCGCTTCGGTTAGGTAATTCGAAAAAAAAAAAAAAAAATATACAACCTTTTTCGATATTTTATCGATCTTCGTATAATAAGAATTGGAAAACTAATTCTATCTGCGATTCTATGAAACAAAGTCTTTGAGACATCGTGAAATCGTCAAATTTTTAGAGATATTTCCGAAGAAAAAACGGAAAGGTTAAAATATCGAAATTTTTTGCAACATCTAGAAAATTTTCTTTACCATTAGAATACATTACAGTTGCATATACACATTTCGTGAGTTTCGTTTCATTTTAATACGCGTCACTCCTTAATCTTAATAATAAAAATAATATCAATTTATTTAGATATATTCGTGGAACCAATTTAAACGACAAATATATGCACCTGACAAACAGTAGCGTGAACAAACAGAATCCCGCATACGTGATGAACGATGGAGTGAATTCGTTCAAAGGGCATAAATGGTCCTTCTCGAGTTTATGGTCCTATCTAAAACAGGAGGACGTGAACGTTAGCGAATTATGGTCCCTGATCAAGAATATCGTTATCAAGACTTTCGTAGCCGTGGAATCTAGCATGAACGCTGCCATTTCGGAAAATCTTGTTTCCAGTTACAGCTGTTACGAATTGTACGGATTCGACGTGCTCCTCGACGAAAGTTTGAGACCCTGGTTACTCGAAGTCAACATTCTACCGTCGTTGCAAACCGATTCGCCACTCGATACTTCCATCAAGGTATTGAGATTTAAAAAAAAAAATCGATTCTTCGTCGTTCGTGATTCATGTTGCGCCATTCATATTTCTCTGCATTATTATTTTAAAGAGTACATTTATAACGGAAACGGAATAGTCGAGAGAAAGAAAAGGAATTAGAATCGATTCTATCCAAAATGTTATGCAATATATTGAGAAAACGATAAAATAAATGTTCCGTCCAAAATTTATTCGATAATTGCTGCAACTAATTGGAAATAATAAATTTTTTCCCCATCGCGGTATAAAACTTTCTCGAACTCGCGGATAATTGTTGCCGATCTCGTAATTCATTTCGACCGTTTACCACCGGTCAATTTCGAACTTTCGAATTCCTCGGCAATGATACACGGAAATCACACGTTCGATGATAAATTATTTATGATCACGTCGATTGAGTCATATGTATCGTGTATGATTAACCACCAAGTACCAAGATGATTCGTCTGAGCGCGGCATCCATTTGTTTTTCAGGGTACTTTGGTCAAAAACGTGTTGAACATGGCTGGATACCAGATACCGAAAAACGAGCAAGTTTCGAGTAACGGTATATCCAACAAGAAGTACGACTCGATCGCGCACAATTACAAATTGTACAGCACGGCATTGAATCTTCAAGAAAAGACGAAACAGAACGAGATCAACGCGATGGAGACACGAGACGAATATTTGACCATTATACTCGAGAATTTGACCAGGGACGATATCAGACAGTTGATTCGTTACGAGGACGAGCTCAGCCAGGTTGAAAACTTTGAGAAAATCTTCCCTACCAAAAATAGTTATTGTTACTTCAAATTCTTCGAAGTGAAGAGATACTACGACCGATTACTGGACGCTTGGGAAAATCGTTATTCGGACAACAGAATGGAAGGGATTCGTAGGCTGCAACGATATTGCGAGAATATGCAACATCTAGATCAAAACGATTAGATTGATCTTTAATCCTTTTTTTTTTTTTTTTTTTTTTTTTTTGATTTATTTCGCTGCTTATGCCCGTGATATCATTCGAGATCCAATTAAAGCGGTTCGCACGCCAGCAAGGCCAATAGCGTGGCGCGAGGATTTTTTTTTATGTAACGTGCGTAATATTCTCAACGTAATATGCAGCAAGGAAAAAGAAGGAAGAGAATACCTACGACAGGTGCGGAAGAAGAGGATAGTATAGGGTAGCCGTATCCTCATTGCGTAATTTTATTCTGAAACCTCGTTCAGAAATATCTTTCGAGTTTATTATTTTAGATATCCATCTATCGAAATTCTTGATATAATTACTGATAATCTCATCGTAACATCTACGAGAAAAAGAGTGTGACAAGCGTTAGATTATCCCAAATTTTCTTCTCCTTATTTTCATCATTATGATTCGAGAAATATCCTTTTATATTTGTCAAAATAATCGGATGAGTTTCCGATTAAAAAAAAAATTTATGCTAAATCAAAATCAAAGTTTTGGAAAAGTGAAGGTTTCAGACATTAGTGATTGATCAGAAAAATGAAAGATTTTGATAAAAAAACTTTTGGGATAATCCAATATATAAGGGTAATCGAACCCCCTGATTACGTAAAATTTCGTTTTTGAAATTTCATATGTTCCCAGAAATTACTTCAAGTTTACATTTTTTCAAGTTTATCAAGTTTAATATTTTTCATATACTTATACGTATATAATTATTTTTACGACAAGATATATATATATAGGAAACTGTATGTACAGTTTCTTAATAAGCGATTAAGATCGCTAAATCGCTAGTATGAGGAGTTTAAACTATTTTGTCTCTGGAGACATCCGATGTCAGAGGAATTCGAGAAATCCGACGAAACCTTACGCCTGTTAATCCACCTTAGTCGGAAGGTTGCGCAACAACCATAACCGCAAGGTACTGTAAGTCGTTTTAACTATATCGGTCACATTGACGTCATTCATTTGCCGTTTACAAGTTGCACACTTAATAGGAGTATCCGTTTCCACGACAGAATCCTTTTATCGAATTACGCGTAACTCAATTTCCCTTTTGAAATCGTGACGTGGACTAAACTTCGAGAGCTCTAGTCTTTAATCATCTTTAGGGAGTTAGAGTCATTATTACCACCTTTCATGGTATGATATACGAATAATAGTAATAAAATTACAAAAAATCGAGAATAAAATATATATATATAAAAAAAAAAAAAAAATAATTATTCTCTTATCGTTAAGTTTTATAGAAACTTATTCTGATGTCGATTATTTGTGAAAGATTTATATGGATTTATAATAAATTGTAAAAACAGACGTTATTTATTTTAAATGTGAATTATTTTATCGAGAAGATCATCTTATTTATATAATTTTTGAACTTTTAAGCCTCGTATTCTGTGTACGGATCGATATGCCTCATTTCTTTGCGTTTCAATTTTTAAATTCGCTGTTTCACGCGTGTCAAGAACATATATAAATTCACCAAAAGAACACGATACAATAATTTCTCTTGAGATTACAGTCTCTGTCGTAATATGAATTAAAGTTCATCTCGAGGAAAATAAAGAAATGGCAAAATGGCTCGTTCCGACCGAGTCTGGAAAAATATTTAAAATTAAAATAATATTCACAATTGCACAAGCATCGCCTGTATCGAAAACTGACACGCGAGGATGCTAACATGTATAGACAACGATTATTTATATACGATAAAAGCAAAACGCGAGAGCATTCTATTGATCCAGTCCAAAGGCTTTGAATTTCCTCACGTGTGCGCCGATGGACAGTTTCACAATAATTCTCGAATGCATGCTTTACCAAAGCGTGAATGGCAAAAGCAAACAATTCTCGTTATACGCTGAGAAACGTGCAAAGAATTTTCCATCCATGTTATTCAAAACATTTCAAAACCAATATCCCTCCGAAAAAATAAAATTTCACCGCTTCAATCGGCCTGATAATTCTTTCGAACAATGCTCAGCGTTACATTTAAAGGATATCGATACCATTATCCAAAGTGAAACTCTCGAGAGTTGCTTTCGAAAATTTTACAAAACTCGATCGACCCTCGTCATCTTTTAATTATATTAATATCTAGTTGGAAAAATCGATCAATAATACAAAATTACAATTTAAAGGTATCGATACGTTTCTTAAGTAAAACTCTCGAATTCGTGGTCGAACGCATTGGCAATAATTTCGATCGGTCACGGCTCGTCACCTCGTTCGAAGGTCTGACGTAAGCGGCCGGTGAAAGCTCTGGAACGGGCTTCATAAACATGAATCACTTCCTGAAAATTCCGTAGACCCCGACTTTCAGCGGTTTTCAGCTCGTTCAGACTGTCTTCTCCGCGAATCGTCCCCGCTCTGCTCTGCTCGTCACACGCAACCTACTTTTCTTCTCGAAGACCGCACGTGAGCATCGCGCGCTTTAACGCGTTCTATCTCTCCCGCTTCTCACGCGCATACCACGAGAGCACAAACGTACAACGATTTATCAGAGATACGAGCCACTGGCTCGAGTGACTTTTTGCTCGACCAGGACGGAAAGCTGCTGCCCGAACTTTCCTTCGTTAATCCGTGTATGCAATTATTGTTATTCCGGCACGGATACGGTAGGTTTAGTTGGAAGTGCTAAAGAATGGACATCGATCGTTATCGTGTAGGAAGCGAGAGAAATTCCGGAACGATCGATGGAAAAACATCTTACTTATTTATGGTTTTATTAGCTTTGCGAGAACGAGAATAGGGGATGGATGTCTAAAAGCTGGTGTTAAATGAGGAAAAATACGATTTTATATATATCGTATAAATGGTTACTAATGAAAACGACGAAATTTTATGGAAGCTTTTTCTTGATGATTCAACCCACGTTGAAGAATTTTTAGAAATGGCGTTATCGAGTCTTTCAAATCAAATACCCGCCTACCTTTTCCAGAATTATGATACCTGTTTCGGTGCGGAAAATACAGGTAGAAAGTCTCAAGTTTCAAGACAGTTCTTTTTAAAAAGCTAAAGCTACGTGTTTATCGAAGACAACGATCAATAACTCTTTCAAGAGATGATGAATCGTTGAAAACATCATGGAACATTGACAAAAGGTTCCTCGTTGTTGTTTCATAACAGGAAACAAGAATAATCGAGCCGAGTATATAAACTTTACTACGATATATGTATATATATATATATATATATATATATATTGGAAGATATCATTCGCTTTATAATTTCATGCGACAGATTGTCAATCTTAAATTATTACATGTATATTCTCTTTCTCGGTCGCAGTCAAGCGTGATAAAATATCGGACTGTTTTATCCTGGTTGCGTTCCGACTGTCACATTATTACCGAGTGTACGGCTCCGTGACTCTGACAATCAGAGCAGAATGAGATCTGAAAAATTCGCAATCTCACGAATGAATCCACTCTAGTCCACTCTTAATTACGATACAATTATCGTTAATGTTCAGAAACAATTCAACTCTAGACAGTACAACTTTCGAAATTCTCGATTATCTTCGTAAATCAAACCGAACGATAAATAATAAACGAGAAAGTAAAACGGAACTAACGATGGAAAATAGCGACACGATTTCTTAAAAAAAAAAAAAAAAAAACGTGAATCTAAATAAATCCTGGCACAAGTTTCCGAGTTTTCGTCATCTATTCACTTATTTATACCATTTCACCTAAATCCACTCTTCGATATCTCTGCCCTCTTTAGAGAACAGAGCCGTCTGTGAAAATAGGTCGACACAATAGGCATGCCGGAAATCGCATTGAAGTACGGTAGAAACAACAGTTTCTGCCATCGCAAAACGATACTCTATTCCGTGTAACGTGCGTTCTTTGTCTCTGTGGATCAAGTTGACGAGCAAACATGTATGCACAAGAGGACGACGCGACATGTATGCACAGTCGCGGAAATCTTTTCTATGATAGATGATAATTGATAGGTACGCGACGACCGAGGATGAAATCGAGCGGAGGCTAAACTGAGTCGATCCATCCATCCTGGGATAAATGGTTAATCGAACGTGATAAATAACGATCGGTATATAATTTTAGTCCTTGGTTCATTCGCGGACGATTCATCTTTCACGTGATAACGAAACGAGTCAGACGCGGTGGAATACTAATTGCTCGTAATTTCGAGTTATCGGGTGATTAAATTATCATCTAAGTTCGGAAAAAGCTTGTGTCAGCGGAAGCACAGTATAATGGATTTCGTTTCTTCGACTTTTACTTTACGCCGTTTACACGTAAAGTGTTACGCGGAAGTTACTCAAGCTCTAAAGTCTTTCGCTCGAACCGAATTTCCTAACTTGCTTCGCTTGCAAAAAAAAAAAAAAAAAAAATTGGAACAACTTAAGATACGCGAGAAAAAATCAACATTTTTGTTTAGAGAGAAGGAACGTTGTAATTAACCAAATGAGCTACTAAATCGTTTCTAAACGATTCTTAAAATACGATTTGTACGGAAAACAACGTTTCTGTATTGCTTTCGAATGTAGTATTAAAAATAACTCGATAAATAATCTCTTCGGGCATGATATTACTTCTATTGTAATTATATTAAACATTCAAGAATTGATAGAAATTATATTCAACAATTAAGTTGAAGAGAAATAAAATTGTGCAAGTTCTAAATCTTTCTTTAAATTTCTATAATTTTTAAAATTTCATTCTTCCAGTCTATCGCAGAAATGAAACAAAGCGATAGATCGAAGAGATAAAGTAAAAGTACAGTTTCATCGCTGTTTGCGGCTTATACTATTGCCATTATGCGGAATTCTACATGCTAGTTCACGTATAATAAACCGAAATCGGCCACGAATAACTCGTGATATTCCACGAGTTCTATGCTAAACACGGAGATACCCGGCCAACTCGATCGTCACTTTCTCCGCTTCATTAGACGAGCTGTGTAGGTTTCGTCAGCATGGATCGATCGATGCCACGATTCCCTC